ATATATATATATATATATATATATATTTGTTTATGCCTATAATATATGCTGCATTCTATAGAAGGAAAACTGAATAAAAGTAGAAATGAAAGAAAGAGGCGAATATTATTTTTGCAGATGTCTGACGATATTTGCGGTGTATGCACATACACCCCATCGGTCTCTGTTTGTTTTTTATCTTTTCTCTTTTATTGTTTTCTTCTTTCTTTGCACACTGCATGCTTTGTCTGCGCTGTCTCTTCTCTTGTCTTATATTCGCCTGTCTTCGTATCGTGTGCGGTGTCTCCTGTGCTGGTGCTTCTGCTGCTGCTGCTGCTGCTGCTGCTGCTGTTGTTGCTGCTGCTAATAGAAGTTTTGAAGCTTTCTCTGTTAACTTGTGCTGCTGCACTTCCAGCACTGTCTGCTGTTTTATTTGCTGTCTCTCTTCTGTTGTTTTTTGTTTTTTCGCGATCTCTCTGCTCTTCTTCACCACGCCTTCGCTTCCCTCTACTGCAACTTGGTGCAGCACCCTGCTGCTGCTCTCCTGCTGCTGCTGCTGCTGTTGTTGCTGCTGTTGCTGCTGCTGCTGCTGTTCTCTCCCCTGGGCCCTTCACTCGCCCCCTTCGCCGCCTCTCCTGCTGCTGCTGCTGCTGCTGCTGCTCTGCATCGCTGTTTACGTTTCCCTCTGTGCTGCTGTTGCTGTTGCTGTTGCTGTTGCTGTTGCTGTTGCTGTTGCTGAGATCTCTATCTTCTTCTTTTGTTTGTTTTTCTTCTCGTCTTTCTTTTTCATCTCTTTCTTCTTTTCCTTTTCCTTTTCTTTTTTCTTTCACCTTTTCTTTTACTTCTTCTTTTACTTCTTCTTTTTCTTTTTCCTTTACTTCTTCTTTTTCTTTTACTTCTTCTTCTTCTTCTTCTCCTTCTTCTTCTTCTCCTTCTTCTTCTTCTTCTTCTTCTTCTGATTCTTGCGAGTTTGACTCTGTCTCTGAGTGTCTGCTGTTTAACCGCCGCTTCGCCGCTTCACCGTACACCGCCGTTGGCTCCCAATCTGCATCGCTCTCCTCTGTGCTGGACTCAAACATATCTTTAGCAAACAGCAGCGCACAAGTGCTGCTGCTGCTGCTGCTGCTGCTGCTGCCTTTGGTGCTGCTGTTCCTCCTGCTGCTGTTGTTCCTGCTGTTCCTGCTGTTCCTGCTGCTGCTGCTGCTGCTGCTGCTGTTGCTGTTGGTGTGGGGTTTATGCTTTGCTGCTGCTTTTTCTCTGTCGGCAGAATTTTCAAGTCGCTGCCGCTTCCGCTCGAGTGCAATTTCTAACAGCATGTGATACCTTCAGACAAATGCAAATACATCAAACAACTTCAGAGGATGTATTTAATAAATTATATATAATATATATTATATATATATTATTGATCTATTATAAATTCATGTATGTATATGTATATATGTTTATATTATTAATGCATTCATCTGCATGGGTAAATAAAAAAACGTATATATATGCTTATATATATACATATATATATATATATACATATATATATATATATATGTAGATATATATATATATATGCGTGTATGTGTAAATAAATATATTTATATACAGTATGGATACATGCCTATAAATGCACATGCATATATCTATACAAACAAATATAAAAAATTTTCTTTTTCTTCTTTTACCTCGTCGATCGTGAATAACGAATTGGCTGCGCCCTTCGGCTGTACCTCCATTCTGACTCGGAGTTTGAAGTGTCTTCATCATCATCTTTAATTACAATTACTTCTTTCGGCTCATCTTCGCTCTCAGCAGCAGCTGCTGCTGCTCCTGATGATGGTTCTGCTGCTGCTGCTGCTCCTGATGATGGTTCTGCTGCTGCTGCTGCTGTTTCTGATGCTTCTGCTGCTGCTTCTCTTGATGCTGTTGCTACTTCGGGTGCTGTAGCTGCGGTTTCTCCTGCTGCTGCAGCGGCTTCCGATACGTCTGCTGCAGCTTCTGGTACTGTTGCTGCTGTTTCTGTTGCTGCTGCTGCTGTTTCTGATGGCGCTGCTGCTGTTTCCGATGCTGCTGCTGCTGTTTCTAATGCTGCTACTGGTGCTGGTGCTGTTGCTGCTGCTGCTGGTGCTGTTGCTGCTGCTGCTGTTTCTGAGGCTGCTGTTTCTGATGCTGCTGCTGGTGCTGCTGTTGCTGCTGCTGTCGCAAGCATATCTGAGCCCCTCCAAAGCGAAGCAGCTCTCAGTTGTGCAGTTTGTGGGGAGGCTGTCATCCCACGGAGGCAGCGAGATGAAGACAGGCGAAAAAAAACAAAGAAATATCGCCTGTTCCTTTTAATAATCTTCTTATAACTGCTGTTTCCAGGTGTATTCGCCTCGAAGGTTTTCTGTGCACTTCACTGAATTCCTGAATTGCTGCAGCGGGCCCTGGCAGCAGCAGCAACAGCAGCAGCAGAAGCAGAAGCAGCAGCCCCTTAATTCCACAGCTACATGAATTCAATATTGCACAAGAAAGCGAAAGTGAAGACAACACCAGACAGCCGGTGGAGAAGGTGGGGGGAGGGGTGGGAGGCAGCGCTCAAGGTGTGTGTATACCGCTGCAATAAATCAGCAGAATCCCTAGATATTAGCGAGCAGTAGATGTAGCTGAAGGTCGTAATGGGTGGGAAAGAGGCGCCAAAGTTCTCCTGTAGAAGCAAATGACTCTGTGTGAACTTCCCTCAACTTGAATGCGCCTAAGAGAAACAGACGGCTGTAGCAGGCAGAGGGCTCAACGCACTAAAGAAGCTACCAGCTACGAGAGGAAGAGGCTGGCAATGGAGATCATGCTGTTTAAGAGCATCATATTCTGTCTTCCTTTCATTTGTTGATGAAACACATAAGACGAAAAACACTTCTTAGGCGGCGGAAGAAGGAAGGCAAAGTCTAAGGACAGCCGAGTAGTCAGTAAGCTGCAAATGAATAAACTGTGAGAGTTATGGTAAGCAAGATTCCTGCTAATATCAGAAACAAAGATTATGAATAGTCCAATGGAAGCTCGACGACAAGCTGTTTGATTTCAGGTGTACACGCACCTGAGGAGGGCCCGCCGCCGAAACTGGGGAGTTTCAGAGAAGTGTCTGAGGGTTAGTTCATGAAAGAATCCAAAAAGACGTAATAAAATGCATTTAATTCACATTGATCCAAGAGAAAACAATTTTAAAACAACAATAAGAGAGATACGAGCAAGTCTTGCAGCCCTAAGGCATTCAACTTGCTGAAGAATGCGTCAGCTTTCGCCAGCCTTTTTGAGACTTCTTTAGAGGATTCGGGGATAAAATCAAAGAAAAAGAGAAATAAATAGCAGCGAAACAATTAATAATATAATCCTGAAGTCATTACACTCCAACGCTTACTCCGAAAAGATTTCTACTCCTTCTCGTGTACAATTCAAAATGCAGAAAAATGCATATTGAAGGATCTGACAGCCAAACATCTGTAACCTTCGTATTTTGAAGTGTATAGACACATTGGAGTTGTCAACATGATGGCATTCTTCTTTCTTCCTTTTATTCTGCACTTAACAAGTGATGCACATGAGACCGGCAGTGAAAATCCACCTAAAGATAATGAGGGTGGAAGGTCCTGATGGAGTTGCTTTCAACAGAGAACACCTGTAGAAGTATTGCTTTTTATGTTGCTGTTTCTGTTGCTGCTGTTGGTATTGGTGCTGCTGCTGCTTGCATGCACTTGCTGCTTCTTTCTGTTTCTCTGTACGTACATTCTTCTTTGGTGTTTGAGCTGTAGAATAAAAAACATAGCATCTGAACAGACACCAGACACACTGTCTTCTGCTGTCTGTTGTTCTACCTTTTGTTTCTGTTTCTGCATATCTATCAATTCCTTTACTACAGCGCACAGTCTTATCTTAGCTGTTATGTTTTGATTCTCTTAGGTTCCTTTCAAGGAGCATTTGCTTCTAATGAGGAACATTATATAATAAAATATATTTATTTCATCTATATATATATATATGCATGCATATATATATATATATGTATATGATGCTGCGTATCTCCTCAGGTGTACATAGGATAAAACGCAGCGCAGTACCACCTGAGTAGAAGCTGTATTTGTAGCAGCACATACAACTCTAATTCAATAGCAAACGATATCTTGAGCTCAAACTGAGAGGACGCAGCCTCAGCTAAATGCGTTCAGCGATCAACGATAAAAGAGGCGATTAGGGTTTGTTGTTCTTCTATTATAAATTGCAGTAAAGAAGCAGTAGTAGCAGTAGTGGTAGCAGTAGTAGTAGTAATAGTAATAGTAGTAGTAATAGTATTAGTATTAGTAATAGTATGAGTATTAGTATTGATTTTAGTAATAGTATTAGTAATAGTATTAGTATTAGTAGTAACTAACTGCGAATTGCGATACAAGCGTCTGTCTGTCTCGCTTTTTCCGCGTTAAAGCTGTTTCTCTATGTCTTTCTCTAGGCCTCTGAACCTCTCCCCCTTAATATATATATATGTATATATATACATATATATATACATATATATATATATATATATATATATCTACATACATGCATATATATATATATACATATGTATGTATATATATTATATATATACCGTATCCGCATACATACATATATATACATTCACGTACTTTTGTGTACCCGCTGCCTCCCTTTGAAACTGTGCTGCAGATACAGATTCACAGTAATTCGGTTTAATGTTTTTGAGGCTTTTTATGTTTTATATATACGCGAGGCGTTCATACTCGCCCGTTGCTAAGGCCAGTGCGTGGCAGCGCAGTGTAAATGCATTTGATTTGATTGAAAAGTGGTGTAAATTAAAAGAAGAAGAAGAGAAATGGTGTATACTCATCATTGCAGCTCTTTGTAGGTTTTGCTAACTAGGAGACTTCATCTCCCTCTTCGTGCTGCTCTCTTGATCAGGAGGAGCAGCAAAGCGGCTTTAGTTACATTTTATTTACACTGAAGTTAAATACTGCGAAGATGAAAGGTATTCTTTCCCTTACATCTAACGCGCCGTCGAAGAAGGCGAAGTAAGTAGGTTCTTGAGGTGTATGTACACCGCACGATTTGTTCAATATTCAACATTTCATCATCCTTGAGAATAATTGTATTTTCTGTTGGTTTTTCTTGAGTTTTGAAGTTCGTTTTATGAATTAAAAAGGTTTTTAAAATACTCTTTTCAACAATATATGCACAGCCCCATCAATATGCAACAGAGAAGCCCTTTTCCGCTGGGTTGTTCAGTTATCTAAGGGCAGCGTAATGCTGTGATGGTTCAGGAAGCGTTGTGGTATATCTTTTCTTTTTGTTTTCTTTGTTGTAAAACTTATATCATTTCTTTTTTCTTTTCATTTTCTATTATTTTTTAAGTACAATCAAAGAGAAACGCAAACTACACAAACTTCTCGTTCAGGTAGAGTGTTGACAAGGGGGGAAGCGACTGGTGGTTGAGGGAGAAGAAACCTGCGGCGTCTGTTATTAGAAAAGTTGAAAATAAGTTGAATTTCTTTCTAGAGAATGACGGTGAGGCAAAGAGAACATGCAAGACTGGAGAAAGTACGTTCAACTTCTGCAAAAGCATTCCTTACACACAGCATGCCCCCCGTGCATCATCTTCACTCAGATTCATTTTCTATGAACTCTGGCGATCTAGCAAAGCAGCAGAATCAGCATTCAGACAGCGGCAAGAAGCCCGTGCTATGCCTCTCCTTTCCTAAGCATGTTTGCTGCTCTCTAGGGGCTCTCTGCTTGCATTTCTGCTGCAGGAGCTGCAGGGGTTGCAACAAGAAAGAGAAGGAAAAAACAAAGACGACGATCATGATGTATACGCAGAAAAATGGGATACTGATATTTCCCACTGGAGAGGTCGCATCAAAGGCCCGGTGAGCCGCGGGGTGTACATACACCATAGAGATACATATAATATATATATATATATAATATATATATATATATATATATATATATATGCATGTACATATATGTACATATATGTATCTTCACTTGTTTTAAAGCAGCAGATAAGTATATATAATATATATGAGAATTCATATTTATATGCTTTTTTATGTTTATACGCATGCAGCTTTGTAGATGTGCTGCATGCAAATCGAAGCGATGAATGCAAAAAAGTAAATGGCTGCCGCTCCTATGCAACAAACACTCAACTGAGTTTTTCTATTGAAGTAAACGTAATATCTACATATATATATGCATATATATAAATACCTACTTACGTACATATATATATATATGCATAAACCTATTTATATATTAGTATATATATGTTATTAGCAATTGAATGGATGGTTAATTAGATTATGTATATTAATATATAACTATGAAATTAACATATGAATGAATATTTTGTTTGCAGCTGGATACACCCTATGAAGGCGGCGTCTTCATTCTCGATATAAATATTCCCTCAGACTATCCTTATAACCCGCCCAAGGTAAATGAATCTTTATTATTATATTATTATTATATTATTATTATATTATTATTATTATATTATTATTGTTAATATTGTTATAATATTTATTTATTATTATATTTACTATTGTTAATACTAGTTATGCATTTATTATTATTATTATTTAGTTATGCAATATATTGCTGATTCAATATGCTTGTTTGTTATTAGTATTTATTGTCATTATTAAATGTATTGCTGCTTTATGTTATTCATATCGACTTAGCAAAGAAATTCTGTTTTTATTCTTCTTTAAAACTTTAATTAATGCGGCTTTGGGGAGGAGCGCAGCCACCGTACTCAGTAATCTCGAATCGTTATATATATAATATATATATATGTATATATATATATATATATTATACATGTATATATATGTACATATATATATATATATATATATCTATGATATGATATGGATGAAGGTATATGTATGTATATTGTAAATGTGAAGATTTGTATGACATTTATTATATTTATTCTTCTTTGTTTATTTGTTTTTCTTGTTTATTGATTTATTATTTTTTCAGATAAACTTCGTTACGAAGGTGTGGCACCCGAACGTCTCTTCGCAGACCGGTGAGATAAACAACAAATACAACAATTAAAATTAGTCTTAAATTGAGACGGAGCAAAACCTGCTGTTGCTGCTGCTGCTGTTGCTGCTCCTGCTGTTGCCGCTGTTGCTGCTGCTGTTGCTGCTCCTGCTGTTGCTGCTGCTGTTGCTGCTGCCACTGTTTCTGCTGCTGCTGCTGTTGCTGTTGCTGTTAATCCTGATACTGCTGCTGCTGTTGCTTCTACTGTTGCTGTTAATACTGCTATTGCTGCTGCTGTTATTCGTGCTGCTGCTGCTGCTGCTGCTGCTGCAGCAGATGGAGTTTGTATTGGCGGGTGTATGGTCGATTCATTTCTTTTCCTTTTATCATTTTCATTTATTTGAATGCAATTCTCTTCTTGTCTTCTTTTCTTGTCTAAATATATATATATATATATATCTATATATAATTTTACTATGTATGCATGCATTTGATTGCATTGTTTTACGTGCATTGTTTTGTTTCATTTGTTTAATTGCATTAACTTGGTTTGATTGATTTAATTGAGTTTGTTTGCATTTATTTATTTAATTGATTTCGGCTGACTGATTTATTTAAATGAGTATATTTTACTGCAGTTATACGGTTTGTTTAATTTCTTTCGTTTGCCTTTTACTAACCAATTAATCTCTTCATAATTTTGTCTATTTATTTATTTATAATTAATTACTTTATAATTAATTTATTTATTTATTTATTTATTTACTTGTTGAATTTGCTTAGGAGCTATTTGCTTAGATATATTAAAGCATGAATGGTCGCCTGCGCTGTCAATACGAACAGCGCTGTTGTCAATTCAAGCGATGTTAGCAGACCCCGTTCCTACGGTGATTCATTTAATCAATTTAATTAATTTAATTTAATTAATTTAATTAATTTAATTTAATTAATTTAATTTAATTAATTTAATTTAATTTAGTTAGTTTAATTTGCTCGGGTAGCGGAGTTCAGTTGGTTTGAATGTTAACTTATTGAATCTCTTCAACGCAATTTACTTTTATTTAATTAAATTAAATAAATTAATTCGATTTATTTTAATTTAATTAATTTAATTAATTTAATTTAATTTTATTTATGTGAACTAATTTGGTTAAAGGGGCAGCAGAGTTTTCTTCTGTTGTCTGGTTGAAGTATTTATTTTTTCTGTATTTGTTTAAATCTACTTCATTTTTATTTTAGGGTTTTTCTATTCTTTGCTGCTAATTAGATCAACAGATGCTTTAACTTGCATTTGCTGCCTATTCAGGATTTAGGGTTTAGGGTTTAGGATTTAGGGTTTAGGGTTTAGGGTTTGATTTATTTAGATGCTTATTTTGATATGTGCTGTGTATAATTGAATTCTTTTTTAGTTTTGTTATAATACTTATAATAATATATATATATATATATGTAATATAGGCCTATATACATATATATCTATATTATACTATTATATAATGAAAATAATTAGAATAATTATATATTATTTACTCTATTTATTTATCTTTTTGCTGTCTCTTAGGACCCTCAAGACGCAGAAGTCGCGAAGATGTTGATAGAAAATCCAGACTTGTTCAAAAAAACTGCGCGGTCGGTCTTTGTCTTCTTTATTTTATTTTCTTTTTCTTTTATTTTATAATATCCTTTATATTCTTTTTATTTTTATTGTTGTTCTTCTTTGTCTTCTTTTTAGTTTTATTGTTGTTCTTCTTTGTTTTCTTCTTTTTATTTTTATTGTTATTCTTCTCTGCCGTCTTCTTCGTATTTTTATTGTTATTCTTTTCTTCTTTTTATTTTTATTTTTATTGTTTGTTTTTTATTATTTTTATTTTTATCCTATGTCTTTGTCTGTCTTTGTATTTTTATAGTTCTGTCTTCGTCTTCATCTTTTTTATTTTTATTTTTTTGTGTGTTTGTTTTGTTTGTTTGTTTTTGTTTTACAATCACCATTTAAATAATATTTTCTGTTTAACTTAATAATAATCGTATAAAATATATGTACATATATACATATATATATTTTAGTATAATAATCTTTTTAAAGATATATTCTTAAAATAATAATAATTTGAGTTTATTTGTTTTAATGTGCAGCCACTGGACAGAGACATTTGCTATGAATGCAGCGGAGTCGCAAGAAGACAAAGTAATTTAAATTTCTTTTATATTTTATTTATGTTTTATTTATTTGCTTGTTTATTCTTCTTCTCGTCTTGCTGCTGCTACTGTTGCTGCTGCTGTTGCTGCTACTGTTGCTGCTGCTATTGCTGCTGCTGTTGCTGCTGCTACTGTTGCTGCTGCTGTTGCTGCTACTATTGCTGCTGCTACTGTTGCTGCTGCTGTTGCTGCT